CCCCCCCCCGTCCTGGTTCTGGTTCCTCTTTCTGGTTCAACACCAGGAAGCAGTTTGAGTGCTTCCTCTGAGGGATTACCGCCCAACGACGTCTCCAAACGTGTCACAAACTCACGACCGAATGCTGTTGATTCTGTGGTGAGTTTGTTTCATTGGTTTTTCAACGTGCTGCCGTTTGCCTCCCTCACTGACTCCCGGGTTGTTGTCACGGAACCCTTCGTTTAGGAGACGCAATGACTGGATACCCTACCGAGGACAGCTCTCAGGCATCACATATCTGTTATCGTAAGTTCTCTCGAGCAGAATCAATCAATCAGCAGATGTGATGCGTTCCAGATGTTTGAAGAAGCGAGTGGCGAAGCACAGAATAAGCAGCAGTAGAAGCTGCTGGGGGTCGGCACGCCGACGGCCGGCTCGGGGGCAGCGGGAGACGACGACGCCGGCCGCTGGCAAGGCGAAGAGAGACATTCATGACCTCCGGCCTCCCTCCCCTGGATGTTGTGCATGTGAGCAGGAGGAGGCTCACAGGACCGGAACCACCTAATCATCACGTGAGCCAGCCGCCCCGCGGCGCCGCGTGTTGACTACATGGAAAAAGCTGTTGAAGGAGGGAACCGTGCTTCAACGAAATGAGTAGTGAGAGGATCCAAAAGGGACTTTAAAGAGACACGAAAAGACAACACGGACAGTTGGGAGGACAGTCCGTCTCAGCGATGTCGCTGGAGGAGGGAAGAGCTTCACGGAACAAATCATCTCCGGCTAATCCCCGGACATCAATCCGCTGCTGTAACGAGATCTCTCCAACGTTAACGTGAAAGATGAGGAAGTCTAATTGAGCTGAAACAGAGGCTGAGTAATGCAGAATGCTTTAAACGGCCACGAGCGAGAACAGCTTGGTGTGAGCGATAAAATAGATCATCCAACAGAGAAGAGATGCGTGTCTAACGATGTGCCTGATGGACGTCTTATCTTTCACTTGACTTTTCAAACCCGGAAAACTTTTATTCCGTACAAACGTTCCACACGAGCTGCAGTCAGATGTTTATGTTGCCATTAAGTTCCGGAATCCATTTGTGTCATTTTTGATGGGCACGCATTTCGTGGAAATGCATCTTGCCGTGATTGACAGCTCAAAGGGGTCCTCCCCTAAAAGCAGATGACACATAACATGTCGGTTCGGACGAATAGGAAAAATACGCAATAAATGTCACGACCACACTTCTCAAAGGGATCAATGATCCGCTCAACCTCAATAAAGGAGTTACGAATAATGCACACAATACAGTGCAAGGATGAATAATCTGCCAGTTCAACATCTATATTCTATATGTAATAATGGATGACGCTGTGTGTTCAGGTTCATGTGCGTTTCACTAAAATCAATAGCTTGCTTCTTGTTGGTAAAGTAATTGTGCTGACTTGTAGATACACTGACTTCGTGGAAGAGGTCAAAGGTCTCGATCAATACGCGCTGCGTTCTTCATTCTGTGGGAAGGTGTGCAGAGATGGAATCTGATAATCACATTTCTGGAGGTCAACAAATCAACAGGTGTTTGAACATATATGCCAATCCAGCTGTTCGTATCGGAAAAAAAGAAATTTCTATTTCTAAGTCCATTTCATTGGTGAAAGTCTCTCACTGTATCCGGGGTTTTCTCACCTGCTGCAGACAAAAATCTGCTTCCATACAAAGAAAATGCAATCTAGAATGTGCAGCTGAGGGAAATGATTTTCCTTCCGGACCACAAGGTTGAAGCTTGAAACCGTTTGGCATAAAATGACAAATATGCTACAAAACTACCTGGTTACGTACTATTATTAAAATTGTATTAATTCACAAAAGAAAAAGCCTTCTCCCAGATGAAAGTTATGTGTTTTCTAAATAAACCTGAGAACATCTGGATCTTAAATTCACACATCTCTAAGGAGCTGATTGCTTCAGGTCGGCTCAAATCCATTCTCTCTCCCAGATGTTTTCCTCCACTCACACTCACACACACACACATACACAAACAGCTGTGTGCGTGTTACTCGGATTATTGACTGTTGTCCCTTTTTTCTCATGCAAATGTCAAAGAACTTGATTTCTATCAGAAGAAAGGATTTAACGCTCTTGAGGGCGATGGCAGGTTCTGCATAGACACACGTTGTCATGACGACCATGACGACCGTTTGCCTCTTTAGATGCACAAACGGGCAGAAACGCAGCGGGGGACAAACAAATGCAACTACGCAATAAGCATAAAAAAAAAAGAACTGCAACAAATATTAGTATAGTGGTCATTTTAGTCGGGTTTGGTGCTGGATAGAAAAAGAGCGGAATTCAAATGATTGAGCGGCATTATTAAGCAGAATTAAAAGAGAACGGTGAATGTGAACGGTGAACGGTGAACACAATTAAGCTTCACACTGTACGTACAAAAATATTAACATTTTTGAGTTAATCGGTTGCCTCAAACAGTTTGCAAAGGGCTCTGATGAGTAATAAAACACGAGTCTTTCCTGCAACGTGAGCCACATGTGAGGAGAAACCTTTCAGTAAGTAAAGTGCAAAGGATGATTCTGCACTAACACGAGGAATGACTTGCAGGAGTCTCTGCTGATTAGCGTGTAGCGTTCGAGGCACTCGGGCAGCAGTCGGGAATCCTAATAAGCTGCCGGCTTCCCGCAGCTCGATTCAGGGGCTTCAGGATGAGGGCAGAGAAGCAGAGCGTCATGTGGGACACGAGGACAGATTCCACGTCCGTCCCTTCAGCTGCTTCCTCTTTGTCCACGGGGCGGATTATTTCAGACGTGCATCATGAATGAGTCATTGACATTGATCATAATAGAAAATAGATTCTTTTCTAGTATCACGTTCATCAACTTTCACTCGCTGAACTTCACCTCTGACAAAGGGTCGAGTTCTCTGTGTTCCTTTGGCTTCAATGACTCAACTCCGCGTTCATTCTCTCGGGTTCGCCGGAACACTTGTGATTCTTTAAGAGGAAGCAAAGAAGAAGGATTTTGGCTGAAAAGTCGTGGTTTCACTGACGTCATTCTTTCATTTGGACAGAATAACAGAAGAATGCATTTTGGGAGCGTAAACAATCTTTCTCTTGTTAGTAAAGGAAACACAGCCTGGAAGTATGTTACTAAGCAACAGTGTAACAAGTTTCCATCCGTCATCCGGTTTCTTCGCTGTTTACCTCTTTATGTCTGTTATGAAATAATGTGCGTATGATGTTAGAATTAGTCCCTTTATTAGCTTGTTTCATATTGCTTTATTAGAAAAGGATATCGGGACAAACAGAAGCTGTTTATCTGAGACAAACAGAAACTTTAATATTAAATGGTGCTTGGTGCAACATTTACCCTCAAATCCTTTTTCAGCGTGAAAGAAAAGATGAAAAGACAACAACATGTTTGTTGTCTCGAATCGTAAAATTCTTTCATCTGCCTTCCACTTTCTTAACGTCACCACGTTGGATCATCAGAAAACAGCTGGATGACTGAACCCATTAGAACCCAAACGCCCACTATGAGTTATTAAGTTATTAAAAAATGAATGTCTATTCGACACACAAATGCTTCAGGTGTATTATTGAATGCACGCGGCGAACGTCTATTTGCTGATGGAAACGTTTAGTTTTCTTCAGTATAAATTATTCACATATAATTACACTCAGCTGCATCTCCGTGTAGCTGCAGTCGTTTTCCGAGTCCCCGTCAGAGCGGGATGCTTAGCGGAGCATCGTCGTGTAAACGTCGAAGCGTGCACATGAGAGGGAAGCCGACCAACAGAGCTGTAGCTGACACGCAGCGTGGTTTATTCACAGAAACAAACGGCTGCACACATTGAACACATTCCACACAAAGCTTTTAACAGGAAAAGGGTCACCCATTTACTTCTGTTTTCTAAGCGCTTTGAAACGCTCTTTTGGGTTTGATAGACAGAAATAAATAAGTTGCTCTCTCTACATATTTAAGGCAAGAATTAAAGCAACACGCTACACAACACGTACATAAAAATACAGTTGGGAAAATCTGTGCAGAAACATGATTCAAGATAGATCGAATAGATCTATAGAAAAATAGAGAGATGTGATGTCATACGTACATCTCGAGGGCGAGCGCACAACCCACATGTGCAAATATATACACACAAACCACAAGTTCACAGGCGCTTTGATGGAGATCAACGGGTGTGATGAGTCAAGGGTGACGTCATCGGAGCAGTAAAGGGGGGTTTTAGCTGAATTTGCAGGAAAGTCGTAGTTTGAAAACACTGAAGCGGCTTTCCGGTCCTGCAAAAACTGCAAATACAAACTTTTAAATAAATAAAACATCTAAACACAGAAATGCTAAACCCGAGCCTGAGAAATATCCACTTTTTCTGTTATAGAAAAGTTAGTGTATTAAGTATTTATCCTCATCGCTGTAAATGCTCCACTGACGAGCATCACGCAGCCGCCTGCTGCTGCTGGACAAACACATTCTCTTCTTCATGTTTTCACAAGCATCATGTTTGTTCTCAGAGCGTAAAAAAACAATCACAATTCAACGCCTCTTTTCTGCGAAGTAGAAACCTCGCGACCACCTCCGTAGACGAAAATGCAACCCTGCTGTGGTCGAGCAGGATGGTCCCTCTGATTGGCTCCGTGTGATTCCGCCAACGTTCTCGAGGAAAGTTCATGTCAGTGGTTTCTCTTTGCGGTCATTGCGACGCGTCACACATGCCAGCGATGGACTCTCGCGGCTTCTGTCTCCTCGCTGGACGCACGGTGGCATTTAGGCTCCACACTCAACTGCTGTGACATTTGAGCCACAGGATGCAGGTTAAAAGGCATCGAGATCTTTACGATCGATGGCCGCGCTCATCTTGAGTTTCTTCGACAATGAACAGAAGGGAAAGTTGTGTGTGCGGACGGAACGATTTTGAAGCGAATCACGGTTAAATATTAAGCCTGAAGATCTTTGCTTCAAATTGCACTTGAGAGCCACGTTCACTAGCAAACAAAATAGCATTTTTCCACTGAGCAGCTGAGCAGCAGTGTATATTTCTTCTGCACACCAAAGGCAAGAGCCCCACCCATGAATCGTTACAGCCGACATCCCAAAGTCCCCGTTGGAATTCACACGAAGAGCAGCGCGTGCGAGCAGCAGAAGATTTCTCTGAAGGTCTTCCTCATTTCCTGGCTGCGGAAGGCGTAGATGATGGGGTCGATGACGGAGTTGCACATGATGAGGATGAGGTACATGTTGAAGTGGGACATGAAGCAGGTGCAGTAGGGGTTCCTGGGGCAGGTGATCATGAGGATGAGGTGGAGGAAGAAAGGCGCCCAGCACACCACAAACACCCCGAGGAGGATGGTGAGGGTGATGGCGCCCTTCATGTTGGCGCGCTGGTGGATGGGCGCGTGGCCCGGCAGCGCCGCGATCCGCTTGATGTGCAGACGGGCCAGCAGGAACATGTGGACGTACAGCGACGCCATGAGCACCAGCATGGTGAAGAACATGGTGATGAGGCAGATGAGCACCGAGGTGCTCTCCGAGTAGATGATGAAGAGGATGCCGGACACCGTGCAGCACGTCCAGATGCTGCCGATGACCAGCGTGGCGCGCCGCAGGGTGACGATGTTGTGGTAGCGCAGCGCGTAGAAGATGGTGATGTAGCGGTCCACGGCGATGGCCAGCAGGCTGCAGATGGAGGCCAGCAGAGAGCTGCAGATCATCGAGTCAAACACGTTGTCCATGTTCCGGATCAGAGCCACCGGGATGGTCAGGGTGCCGCCGGCGATGAGCGCGATGACGATGGTCTCGGAGGCGTTGGAGACGCTGACGAGCATGTCGGCGACGGCCAGGCTGCAGATGAAGAAGTACATGGGCGAGTGGAGGTTCTTGTTTTTGACGATGGCGGCGACGACCAGGATGTTCTCCAGCAGGCTGATGATGCCCAGAGTGAGGAAGACCTCCGTGGAAATGAGCAGCTGCTCGTAGCATCCCGCCGACGCGTCTTTCCCCTCGGCCGCTAGATCGTTGTCGGGTGGCGAGACGCCTGAGGCGCTCCTGTTGTGGTAGCCTTGGATCAACCCACCGCTCTGCGTGCTGTTCATGGTGAAAGTCTCCTCCTTGTTGTTGTTATTCCATAGTGCGCGTTTAAATGTCCACAGTCGTCCTCGTCACCCGGAGGAGCCACAAGAGGAGGAAACGTACACAATCTTCGGGTTTACCCCAAAAAACAGCCAATTATCTTCAAACATCTGCCGCTGCTGTTATCCGCAGCCCAAAACCCACCCGGCGGGACCCCCCACCGCTCCCCAAGGAGAAGGAGTCAGAAAAGGTGCGTCAGACGGAGGCGGTGAGTCCACAGTGACGAGATGAGCTCTCTGTTTGAGTGCAGGCAGATCATCACTTGGTGAGCTGCTGTGGTCCTTCCTTCTCCGCCCGTCTAGCTGCTCTTATACACTCACACACACTCACTCACACACACACACACACACACACTCCCTCCTGTGTTTGCGTCCTATCCGCTGGCTGGTGAGGTAGGAGGAGGAGCAAAGCCCGGCCTGACGTCTGAGTGAGCAAATGTGGATGGGAATTCAGAATGAGAGGTTTTAATCAATATCAAATCTTCGGGCTGAACTGAAAACACAACATGAAGGTGTAAACTTTCAGACAGAAAGACAGAAAACGACAGAAAGAAAGGAGGATTGAGTAGAGGGCGATAGAATTTTTAAGCCTCATTTTGGCTCTGATGTCAATCATAGTCGGCCCCGCCCTAAAACATCCCCTGCTTCACGGTCTGTTTGACTCCAGATGGACCATGATTGTCTAAATGAACATATTGTATTGAAGAAGGCTTTAAACTACAAATTGAGACCATAAAACTGTAAAAATGTACAATGTTTACTGAGGGAATAAATGAAGAGAGAAGTGGTGTAATTTTCTCATAGACTTCTATGGGACGAGAGTAGCCGCCCCCTTGTGGTCAGGAGAGAGAATGCAGCTTTAAGACATAAAGCTTTGGCTGGTGGACACAAGTCACCGTCTATATTTAAACTGGCTTAACCTCCCCTTTAGCCCCTCCCCCTTCAGGTGTTACTATGGTTACGTCTGCTAGCTGCTAAACCAAAAGTTGCGTTTTTTAAAATGGAAACAAAGCGTGTGGAAAACTTAAAGATGCAATTCAGTTGCTTTCGTGAGTCAGAACTTCTCCAATGTGAAAGGCTTGGTTTATGAGTGTATTTTCTTTGCAAGGTCCACTCTCCCACAAACCATCTCACCGTGTATATCTGAGCAAGACACTGACAATAGTTGTTGTGTTAAAGTTTCATCAAACCAGACGTCAGAGAAGCCGCAGCTCAACAGACAATGTGAAAAGAGTTTGTGTGTAACGAGCGGATGGAAAGCCTCAAGGGAAAGAACTTTGATACAGTAATCTATTTTAACCTGACTTTAATTAATTTTTGGTAGGCACTCGCAGAGTGGTGATCGTCTTTTTGCATATTGTTTCATTCTGAATAAGAAGCCAATTATCTTTATCAGCATCACTCACATAATAATACAGCAATTACTCCCAGTGTATTCGTCTGTCTGCTCTCTAAGCTCTAAACACGCCCAAATACAGCCTCATGATTTACCCCAATATTTATTCATTGAGAAAAGTAATGAAAAAAAGGGTTAGTGCTTTTCATGACTGAGACCGTGAGCGAATATAACGGTTAGAAAATCAGAGAAAAGGTGAAGTGAAAACGATGGATCTTTGATACAAGGACAGGAAATCCACCGAAGGTAAAATGACTCATTTTATTCCACAGCTCGACGGAATATTACACAGTGGCTACGGACGCATTTCTAAACAACAACACTCCAATTCTTGCCTTATTGCGTCAACGCGTCTACATCTAGGGAGTGAAGGGCGCTCTTCCTCCTGATCCAACAGAAAAAAACCCACTAACCTTTCACGCCATCTAACACCTCAGAAAACATATTTACTGTGAAAGCACAAGCCGGAGGTGTTCGAGCTTGTTTACAAAGGATCATAATCAGAACGGTCATCAGTGCTGGAGGTGCCAATCATTCATCCAAGACGTAATGTTCCCATTAGCAGAGACACTGTGGGACGAAGAAAAGCTCCTTCTAATCACCACCACATGAGCTATAGATCAACACTAAGGCGGAGGCCGCTTGTCCTCCGATGAAATGCCCGTTGAAGGCTGTTACCATGGTGAGTATGAGGCGAGTGTGCACGGAAACCTTATCCTCAAATCCAACTCGCAAATGTCCCTTGAAAGAAAAGTAAGAAAGCTTTTTCCTTTTTGCACGGCAAGACGACACAGACACGCGGCGGATTTATGTTCGACGTGAGGCTCCTCCTTCAGCCCGTGCAGAGCGTTGCTGCTCAGCGCCGGTCGCATCCCCTGAAGTTCACCGTCTTTGAGGGAACTGATCGGGAATGAAGTAAACCTAGAAAAAAAAAGAGAAAAGAAAGGATGCGAACTGTTGGAAATGATTTCCTTTTATGGCCAAAAAAATCCATCTTGTGTGACTTTTGATGCGGCCACAACGCACTAATGTCCGGCCGCTGGGCTCCACAGAGCGCACAAAGGAGCGGAGAAACAAAGTGACCAAATTGTGGCATTTTACTTTGTTGAATTTGTTGATGGAATGATGGGGAAAAAAATCCCTTTTATTTACTCTGTACGTTACACTGAAATGTACCATTGTGCATTTAAAAAGTCTGTGTGGGACTTAAAGTGGCTTAAAATGTGCAAATACGTTAAAGAAAGATGCCCAGTGCTTTAAATTCAGTGGACAATTTGAGCAGATTCACACAACAACAATGTACGCATATTATATTAAATCTCTGCGTCGGCACAACTTCCCTCTGGTTTTTCCACGGGGGAATAAATGGGTCTCGCATGCCGAAGAAGAAGAAGAAGAAGTTGGGAGCCGAACTCAGCGGCCGTCTCCGTGAGCCCGGACAGGAAACGGGGCCGCGGGGACTGAAACCTCTGTTCAGATTGCCAATTATCTGTGTCTGCACAGCGCAACCATCTGTTCATCGTGCACGGCCCAAATGTGTGTACGAATAGCAGCGCTCCGGAAACTCTCCTCGCCTGAAAGCTGCTTTAAATCCGTGGTTTAATCTTCAGCACCACGGAGAGGGACACGGCGAGCGGGGGTGTTTGACCCTTTCGAGCCTGCAGACGAGCCCGCGGTCAAGTGGTGGAAGAATAATGAAATTCATTTTAACAAGCCGAGCTCACTCGGTGTGAAAACATTTGGGAATGTTGTTAGAGCAAACGAACAGGTACCGACCCTGAGCTCAACACATTCCATCCAAATGGCTTTCACGGTTCACTTTTGGTATTTTTAAACAAGTGAAAACAGAGTTTCAGAGGAGGACGTGTCCTCATCAGCTGAGAGATGACACCAGAGACCAGTCGGTACCAACAGGGCAGTTCATGCTTTCAGGACTTAAACCATATAGATAAAAGTTACACAAAAATGAGAACCCCTCCATGGGGGCGGGCCTTCTTTTATTCTCTCCCTTACGCTGCGTCTGACATGTCAATCATGTAACAGGTCTTGCGCTGCGTGAGCGGATCCACCTGCAGCTCTGACTCAGCGGCAAAGTAAAAGAAAGGTCAGTTCGACCTTGTTAAGCGCTCACGCAGGAATACACTCATGGAACACGGAGCCAGAGACAAGCCCAACCTTTAAGAGATCACAGGGGTCACAGGTCAACTTCAAAACCCGCCTCCTATCCCGAATTCAATGCGACCTGCAACAGCAAAGCATCCACCATTTTGCATTTTGCATTCATTTGGACCCATTAGGGCGAACAAATGGCTCCATGAGGGACAATGAACCTGAATTGATTTTCTTTTATCATTTTCCATGTGAAACCCGGCTGCTTCGCACACAAAGAGAAATCCTACTTGAATCATGTAACCAGCCTTACGAATGAAAGAGAAAATAGCCTTTTGCCCCCAGAGCAGAATGTTCTTGCAGAAAATGTTGGTTGCAACACTTGAGCTCCCGGATGGAGCCGCTTTCACGCTGGGAAAAGCCCCCTCGGGGTCCGGCGCACTTTTTAAACCACCATGAGGTGCAAGTTGGGGTACCTCGCTCGTTTCTCTGGCACAATGTGATATTGGGGTTGGTTGCTGGGAAAGAGGAGCTTGAATCTTGAGGTGGGAGAGACGAGTGGTACCAGAGGAGATCAGTTCCTCCTCTCTGATGAGCGGGTTTCATGCCGCTGAACTCACATCTCAGGAAGCGCAGGCAGAGGCGCATGTCGGCGGACGAATAAATCAACATGTGTTTTTTATACCTTTCTAATGCCAATTACACAAAGCCCACAACAACAAACTGTACATGGAATATTAAACAGGCCTTTTTTTTTTAATGAAGCCGAGCTGAATCTCACAGACAAAATCCAACCTCCAAAGAGCGGAACTTTTAGTGTTCGGCAGCTTGTTGCGTTTTCTCACAAAAACAGGTTTGGTGAAAGCCGACAAACGTAGAGACAGTTTCACTCATCAGAGCAGCGGCTGTACTGGTAATGCAGCTCATTGCACCAAGAACGACGTGATGTACTGGGAGGCAGACGGGGGCACTGAAACTAAATCATGCAAAACATCCAAATACATGGGACACATGTTTGGGTCTGTGTCCATCTTGTGGTCACGTGTCCCCCCCTCCCCCCCCTCACATGTTCCCCTTAATGCAGAGGACAGGGAAGTTAATGGCCTCTGATAAGGCACTTTCAAAAAAAACAGCAAATGACCTTTGCTGCAGCTGCACAATTATCGTTAATGGCAGCCGGCAGCGGCGCTCACTTCTTTCGCCCTCCGGAGGTTCGCTCCGTCCACTTCCCCCCCCACTAAAAACACTCCGTTGGAATTCTCCCAGCAGATGTGAAATATGGTGTGTGAATAAATGAACCCTAACCTACTTAATCACACCTGTTTGTCCAGGTGAGCGGCGCTGTGGCACCTCGCTCATTAGCAAAGGGTTTGTTTGCCTTTTGTTGCTTGGCTCATTCCTCATAACGGCCCTCTGGGGGGGATCAATATGTGATATATAACATATCTATCAATGGGAGCAGAGGCCAGCGCCTCAGGAACGAGGGTCATGCCTCTGTTCAAACAGTCGAAGAGGTAAAGTGAGGACAGGCCGATAAGTGACGTCTCAGCGTCTGATTCAATAAAGCTCGATTGAAACGCAGAGAAGAGACAATTACCCCCAACGTGCTTATTTACTTGTTACTTACACTTATTTTGCGACATGAGTTCTGCTGTAACTGAGCAGTATTTGGTGAGACCTCCGTGCAGGGTGGACGGCCATGCGGGGGGACGCCGCGCCCGTCCAAACCCCACCGCTCTGATGTGCACGTGGTGCTAATGTGAAGGAGGCATGCGCGTCCTCAGTCCTAATAAAGCGCAGGCTTGTGTCTTCTGCAAATTCAATCCTGGCT